GAGAGCTGGAGCGGGTGTTTCTGCTAACAACCCTTTGCAATGCTGCACGTTACTACGGGCATAATAAAATTTGTATCGTGGCAGTTGCTGGCAAGATGGGGTTCAGTGGTTTCGTCAGCTGTTGTAAGGGTCATCTCTGAAATTGTGTATCTATAAAACGGTGGGGTGGGGGAACATTTTTAATTCAATTTGTGAAGGAAACGTTTTCCCCTGCAGGTTTGTCCACTTGATAGTAGTGCTGTTGAGATCCTATTGAGTTCTGCATTTCACACAAGTAATGTTAGAAACAAGTGTCTAGCCTTAAACTGTTCATCTGTTGCACAGAATGTGCATGTTTTCCACTCCATCAGAAAGAGTAATGCCCTGCCTTGTATCCACTGCCTGCCTTGTATCAAGGTCGGGCTGGACGGGGCTCTGAGCAACCTGATCTAGTTAAAGGTGTCCCTACCTACTGTGGGGCACTGGGCTAGATGAACTTTAAATGCCCCTTCCAACCAAAATATTCTATGATAAAAGAGGATGATTTGGAGGGTATTTGATACTCAACCTCCAAGGACTCAGGAATACCTTTAAAAGCTGTAAATTCACAATACTTTTATGAATTCAACTTCCTTTTTTTGTGTACTGTAAGCATGTATGTTGTAATGCAACACTCTTAGGACAGCCTGTAATTGAAATGTCAGATATCAGCAGTGTGGAAAACAAAAAATCGTACCTGTTTAATTAAAACATAGTGTTTAACTGGGAATGAATTTGGGTTTTGAGTAAAATCAAAATAAAAAGAAAATATTTTCTGAGAATAAAGAAGAAAACAAACCTTCCTGGAGCTTGTTACCTCCATTTTTCTTGGGAAAGACCTTTAAAATAAATGGTGCTGTGGTAGAGAAAAGGGCATATCTGATGTAGAAACTGTGCCAAACGTCTTTGCATTGAGATTTTTAGAAGTTAAAATGGAGATCATCAATGGTTTTCTTTTTGTCCTGCGCCTCTTTCTGTATGGAATGTGTACATTGGTTCATTTGACATGCTTTTAAGTTCCGCCACAGAATTCAGAGACTCTCCAGTCTTTTGGCATTTCTTAAACTGAAAACAGACTTACTCAATTTTTAAGTATTTGATTTCTAGCTAATGTTTGTATGTGTGTCTTTTAAAATAGATTGATTCAAAATTGCTTTGCGTGTTAGAAATACCATTTAATTTAAACTTCACTGTTAATGACAGATTTGTAGATTAACACAATATAGGAAAACTTCTAATTCTTTAAAGAGATCTTGAAAATCATGTCTTCAAATGATAGGCTTGTAAAATAGATTGAATTTCTGATTCAAAGCAGAACTGATGGTACCAAAAATGTTGCAGAAGTAGAGGTATTGCAGCTGAAGCCCTATCAGTGAACTGCTGTCTATAAACTCAGATGGTAACAGAGCCATTTGCACAATCAAGATACAAGTTATTCAGTATTTTTTTTTCTGCTTACTTAATTAAAGGTTTTCGTATCCTTTTAGTATGGAAATCAAACCATTATTTCCTGTGTTGTACACTCTCAGCTAAGATGTTACAAAGCTTTTAATTGTGTCTGTATTTGTTTTCTATTTGTTTTTCTAGCAATGGCCTGTTTTCTATATTTAATGCTATTCATCTGAAAATTTTAGTTGTGTATGTGAAAACCTTTTGATACTTACAGTTTTAACTGATACAAAAAGCAGAAGGGGAAGACAAAGAGAATGGGCGCTTTCGTTCAGTTTATTGATGGGAAGAAAACTGGTTCAAACTGTTTGAAGGCCAGGACAGCACAAGCTATGAGCAAAAGCAGAAAAACAACTGCTCAGTTTCCAAGCAGCTTTTTTTAGATTGTAGAATTTAATTACATTTCTCAGTATTGCATTTTTGAATGTTGGTTTTATTTTTCTTCTTTCAGACTGCTGCGAGTTTTAGAGATCAGCCATGGGCATTAAAGGTTTGCAGGGATTTGTGGCAAGAGTTTGCCCTGATGCATGCAGAATGGTAGACCTGAAAGAGGTGGCAGAAAAACATCGCAGTGATAATCCTGATTTCCCACCTGTCATCGTAGTAGATGCTATGAGTTGTATTAGATACTGGTACACACCGGAATCCTGGGTGTGTGGTGGCCAGTGGCGAGAGTACCTGGCGAATTTAGAGGATTTTATTAAAGTTTTTACGGCAGCTGGTATCCAGTTGGTGTTTTACTTTGACGGAGTGGTGGAAGAGAAAAAGAGACATGAGTGGATCAAACGAAGGTTGCAGAATAACAAGGAAATAGCCAAAATATTTCAGTTTATCAAGACTCACAGGAAACAGCCAGGGAGAGAAATGTTCGTTGTTCCTTCAGCCTTGCCTACGTTTACACGTTTTGCCCTGAAGTCACTTGGTCAGAAAACAGTATGCACATTGCAAGAGGCAGACTTTGAGGTGGCTGCATATGGTTTACAACATAACTGCGTAGGAATTCTTGGGCAAGATAGTGACTACCTCATTTATAATACGTGCCCCTACTTTTCCATTGAGAACCTCCGTTTGGACAGACTGGTCACTGTCATGTACTCTCGAGAGGATCTTTGCCGTGCGTTGGGTCTTAGTTTAACGTACCTCCCTCTCTTTGCTTGCTTGCTTGGCAATGATGTTGTTCCAGAAAGCATGTTGGGAGGCTTTTGGCATAAATGTTTAGTCGCTAGTCCCCACAAGGACAAGAGCTACAACAGAAGAACAAATATACTTTTGGCTGTAGCACATTACATCTCAAAAGTTCCATGCTCGTACAGCAGCCTGAAACACTTGGAAGAGATGCTACCCTGGGGATCAGACAAGACATTACTTTACAGAGGAGTGGAGTCTTATCTTTTGCCTGGCCAGCACTCTCCATGGATTCCTCCCAATGTAACAACTTGCCAGATGCTCTCCCTTCAACAGCAAAGTACCATGTGTCAAGATAAGGAAATCTTTCAGGTATCTTTTTTTTTAAAGCTTAATGGTCATTTTATTGCCATGACTGCTTATGGAAGTTGGTAGTGAATACACCAAACCTATTGATTTAAATTTGCTTGAACAAAATCTTTTGTCTGTCAAGTACAGTTACGGTTGGGACTATTACACATACAATGAGGGCAGATGCAGCACATTTAATTAAATGTGGTTTTTCTCTTTTTGAAGCATCAGGCAAGTCACATAATGGTAAGCAGCTCCTGTATAGGCCTATAGCTGGGCACGGAGATGTACCTCCCTTGCACTGAATGATGTAATGATGTGATGACTTGCTTTTTGCTTTGAGAACCCACAGGACAGCCACAGCTGGTTAGTGGTCTGCTTGGCTGTGCCTGGCACATGCAGTCGTGGTACCAAAGGGAGCTGTGCTAAGAATGCAGAAGTGGAAATTGCTCTTGCAGAAGATATGAGGAAACTTCCTATAAAACTGTGTTTCATGATGTTTGGATCAGGTTAATTATCGTTCAGATTTCATTGTCCCTGAATGAACCTGAAGCACTTGGAGTGGCTCATTAATCCTTACAGGGCAGAGCTGCACTAGCACATTTCTCTTATGACTTCCCACATGGGCAGAGATGCGCTAGTGTTGGAGTGAGAAACCGAATCTTGAATTGGCTAATTCTGAGAGACTGGATATATTAGCCAGGGTAGCCTACCTGGCTAATAGAAAACTGAACTACCTTGCATCAGAGTTTATGCAATAGTAGTAAGTCTAGAGTACAATTCTGAAAATTCATGGTGATTAAGATAACATGGAGATTTAACTTAAAAAAATCAATACATGGTAGTGTATTTTAGTCCCTGTGGTAGCCATCTGTTGCTCCCTATTTTGTTAGGTACCTACAGACTTCAAACAGAGTATATTTTTTCTCTTACTTACCTTGAGCATTTTCTTTAAAATTGTTTTTCCTCATACTACTGTAAAGTAGTCCTATAATTTACATTTTCCTTTTCTAAAAACACTCTGAAACATTTAAAGAGTACATTGTAACCTATGGAATGCTCATTTCAACTGAATTGAACTATTTGTGTTTGTTAACCACACATAGATACAATACACGTCACTTTTGACTGTAGTGGTTAAATGAAAACATTATTTTAAGAAAGCCAACAGCCCTACATCTTAATGAAGGGTTGAAAAATACTGCTTATGCTTGAGTGCAAGGAAAAATTAGCCAGAATGTAATTATATGGGTTGGATTATGGCCAGGACAATAGTGGTAATATCCTTACTCCTTAACAGAGTGTACCACGCGGTCTTTATGAAAAGTGGTCATTATTTCTTGCCTTGATCTTTAATTTGAAGGGTTGCAGTTCTCTAGCGTCATGCTGAGCTACAGCTGTAATAAAATAAGTGTTTAGAAACTCCACTGAAGAATGCCTCACTGTTGCTGCAGAAATCCTATGTTAAGCCAGTCCCTGGGCCAAGGAAATTACAGAGTTGTAGACATGTTAACTTGTCTTTTGTTTTTGTTACAGGTGTTCAAGTATTTGTATATGTAATGTGTGTGCTTCGCTTTGTATTTTGAAACCCATATGTAGTTCCACTTACCTTGCACGTAACATGAACTGCATGCAAATGACATGCACAGCTCAGTTCCAACCTTGAGGACGTAGCCTCATGTTGCTGCTTCTCTCAGAAAAGAGCATAACTTTCTAGCTGACTATAGGTGTGAATCAGAAATACATTTCAAGATACAGCATTGAATACAGCAGTACTCTTGAAATCAGCGTGTATTTCTTTTCAGTATGTAAGGATGTGTCGATTATTGGCAAATTGCAAGAATGCAGCAGACTGCTAGTCTTTTCAAATGCTCTCACATCTGTGACAGTGGTTTCACAGAATCACAGAATCACAG